ATATATATATATATATATGTGAGTGTGTGTGTGTTTAAAGTATTTCTAATATTGCAATTAGAAATGATGCTGCAATAAATAACCTGTACATAATGTATTTTCATATCGTTGGAGATGTATCTCCAGTAGAGACTGCTTAGAAGTGGGGCTGCTTGGGTCACAAGGTAAGCACCTATCTTCTGTGTTAGACATTCCCAAATTGCCCTAGAAAAGGCTTGTACCATCTGCATTTCCATCAGCAATGTACAAAAATGCCCATTTCCCCATGGCCTCCTCAAAAGAATACATATTTTTTAATGTGGGCCAGTCTGATAGGTGAGGAAAAAATATCTGTGTCATTTTAATTTTTTTTTTAATGTTTTATTTATTTCTAGGAGAGAGAGAGAGAGAGAGACAGCGTGAGCAGGGGAGGGTCAGAGAGAGAGGGAGTCACAGACTCTGAAACAGGCTTCAGGCTCCGAGCTGGCAGTCAGCACAGAGCCCGACGTGGGGCTCGAACCCACGAACAGCGAGATCATGACCTAAGCAAAAGTCAGACACTTAACCGATTAAGCCACCCAGGCACCCCATATCTGTGTCATTTTAATTTGCATTTCTCTGATGATGAATATAAATATTTTTCAGGGCACCTGGGTGGCTCAGTCGGTTAGGTGTCAGACTTCGGCTCAGGTCATGATCTCACGGTTGGTGGGTTCAAGACCCACGTTGGGCTCTGTGCTGACAGCTGAGAGATGGAGGCTGCTTCAGATTCTGTCTCTCCCTCGGTCTCGGTCTCTCAAAAATGAATAAATGTTAAAAACTTTTTTTTAAAGCACTGTGTTTACTAAACTACTTAATTTGTCCTGTTGCTAAAATCAGATTTATAGGTGAAAGCTGTAGTTTCAACTGAAAACCTTTAGTGCCATTGCAGAGGTCAAAATGTTAAAAAAAACAAAAAACCTGACACCATAATGTTTAGTATTCCTATCCAAGAGAGAACATCATTCAATGTTTTCAAGACTTTTTCCAAATCTTTCCAGAATGTTTTAAAACTTTCCTTACCTAAGTTTTAACATTTCTTGTAAATTCATTCCTAAATATTTAATCTTCCTTTTGACTATCATAAATGGGATTTCTCCATCATTATATCCCCTAATCGTTTAACTTATACATATGAATGCTATTCTTTAAATAATTACCAATTTTGTATCCTGCTTATACTAAATTCTTGTTTCTCGTTTCTTTGTTTTAGCATTGATTTCTTTCAAATTTTTGAGGTATACTATTGTATCACTGGCAGATATAGCTGGTTTCTCTTCTTTATCTACTCTTATCCCTCTAATATTTCAAACTTTTTCATTATTATAATAATGAAATATAATAATGAAAAATAATGGTAATCTGTCATCAGTGATTACAACTTGCTGAAAGGTCAAATTTTAGCATTTTTTACGAATAAGGTATTTACTTGAAGTATGTACTTTTTTAGACATTAAGCTACTGCACACTTTATAGATTATAGTGTAAATATAACTTTTGTGTGCACTCGGAAACCTAAA